TATTTGTATTAAATTTGTGTTTTTTGTACGAGTTGTCATAAAACGATGTTCTGTCCCCTATGCTCGTTGTTAGGGTGGCCGTGATGTAGGTCAATATAACGGTATATCTCGCGGGCAACCGCGTGGCAACGATTACATTGCCCCGGCCACCAATTTGAGAGGAACTTTTATTGTATGCCTTTGTACTGGCTCGGAAATACTGTAACGATAAACGCTAAAATAGTCCCCTAACGTTGATAGTACGATGTTTAGTTAAGCTATGATTTAACAATGACGGTTTCCAATCTCACTATTGTAGTGTATTTTTTTACTATCTCACTGGAATTACCGCAACGAATGGTAAGCTAATTTAGTTTTTAATTTATAAATTATATATAGAAATCGAGGATAATTATGAAATTCAGTCTAGTAAGGCTTTTATAAATAAACTAGCTAACGTCCTCGACTCCGTTCGCGTGGAATTAAAAAATACAAAAGTGAGTAGCTTATGTGTTCTTCTAGACGATCCTCTATGTCTATACAAAATTTTATTGAAATCCGTTCAGTCGTTTAGGCTATCAACTAACAAACATCCATCCATCCATCTAAACTTTCGCATTTATAACATTAGTAGGATTAGTATGTTTGAAATCTTCTTGATATATCAAAACAACATAGATTAAGCAGTAAAGATTTTCTGTTTGTTACCTTTTAGGTGTTAGGTTAATTATAGTATCATAATTACTTTATCCGTAGTAGCTATCGCGGCCGCTTTGATGATTACAGTGACAGTAATTGCTGTGACCTATCCGTGTTTCACCTAAAATTGTGTCTGCTATACCAATTAGTGTATCTAGTCTAAATCGTCATTGAACTCTGTTTTCATTTTTTATAGAAACGATGTCATGTTTGTCCATGTCTATGTATGGGTAATCCAATGGAATTGAGAAGTTATAATAAACATTTCTGAACGATTTTATCTATGTTTTGTCTATGGTTTTATTCGGAAAGTTACAGTGATCAACTTAATGATACTTTTTTGTCTTCAATAAGTCTGATTAAAACCTTTAGAGGTAAAATTGTTTAGATAAGGTTGTGATGATTTCTCATTACATTTTTTGTGAATAATTGAAATTCTAATTGTTGAAATTTGGGTCATAGTGTTGAATAAAAGCTCGTAACTTACGGAACAATGTATACGCCAGTAGCTTTTAAGTCACAAACAATTTTTGTTTGCGTTGTTTTAGTGCTATCGTCCCCGTGTCGCCTGACCTTCTAGACTTATCGATTTGTAAACGTAGGTTTCCATTGACTAAAAAAATGTTTAAACATGTTCATTTTTTAAAACTTTTATGACACAAATGACTTCACGGATTCTCAGATTTATTACAGACTAGCTGTTCCCGTGCGGCTTCATCCGCATGAAATTATGAAAATTTTATTTTATTGTTTACATTTGTCAAATTATCAATTACAAATGTCAAAATGTTTGTAATGTCATGTACATTACAAACCTTAGCAATCTTGCTTTCTTGGTGTTGGCAGCAACTTATGGTCTCTTTCCCACATTAGGGTTTTTGTCTAAAATATTTACTCACTAAGTTTAATGTCGTGAAAATATAAAGCCTAAAGCGTGACGTAAGTATAGGGCTTTTTATTAAGGAAAGAATTATTTTAAAAATGTGCTGTAATTGCTGACATCTTTCGCCACAAAGTAGTGTGTGTTTACGCTTTATTTTATTGGTATAGATAGATGTTACGTACTTCAAACCTTAACGTAAACGATAACATTGTCAAAATTTTCCGCGACTAAACCACAATTAACGTAATATTTGCTTTTAATTTAATGTCTTCCTTAACGCTTATGACACGACTGGAACAGAACAATATAATGTTAATTTAAATGTTTTGATAATATTATTTTAAGATCTTGCAGTATGCATTATAATGAAATCCAATTAAGGTAAAAAAAATTAAAAATACTGCCAGTTCAAGTTGGTGTATTTCTTAAGTCCAAATTAATATTTTTAATGGCTACGGAAACTTACTCGATTTTATTATGTTACTGGTGTGGTTTTGGTTTTTATCGAAACAACCATTTAGCACCGAAGCTTAACCCAAAACCTTCTCTCATTTGTGATATTGAAAAGAATGTCTTTTGTGATATTTTAAAGTCTATTTGCTATGCAATTGTGGCGATGTGACGTTTCATAGCGTTTATTTGCGTCAGAATTTTTCGATACTAAAAATAATCAATTGCTTACGTATGATACGTTTAGGAATTTAGAAGACATTTTATGTATCATTAATGCCAGCAGATGTCGCCTTTGCACACAGTTAAAATAGCATTGAAACTAAGTAAAAGACCTTCTGTAACACTGTTAACATGACTCTATTTAAAAGAGAATGGGTTGTTTTTGTACAAGTTTTTTTGACATTAGAAACTTTTGGTAAATTTGTTAAATGACATTAAATAGAACGTAATTAAAAAAATGTTTCTTGTACCCATAAACCAATAAAGACAGAGAAATAATAAATAATAAAAAAATATATATATACAAAGAGCGAATATGAAAGCAGAAAGTATTAATTACAAGGATTGAATCATTTGCATACATTTTCAAGCATCTCTCCAATAACTTTTTAATTAAAAACCTTTAATTAGTATGGGTTTTAATTAATATGACGATACATTTTCTTTTTAATTTATCGAAATCGGGAATGTTATGAATCATATGTTCCTTTATTTATTTATTCCATTTTAAATTAAAAAAACTGTTTTAATTTATATTTAACATTTAACTGTATACTATAAAGTGAAATAAAAACGTCTTGTAAAAACGCAACGAACAGAATGGCAGGTAGGAATGCAAAAAACAAGAATTTGCCAATCGACTTTTGTAAATTGATGTGCGAGTGAGATAGCAATATCTATAGCATTTTTATCAGCTTTTGAACGTCTCCCACACTACATTAGACATTTAAAAAGGTTTAACTCAGAGATTCAAAGTTATATAGAGGAAGCGTAGTAAACTAACATAGAAAAATTGTTCAATATGTCTAGTTTATATATTTCTTAAATGTCTCTGGTTTAACTGCACATGAGTAATTATAACCTATAATATCGGTTGAGAATAAATCGAATAAGAAATCAAATATCAAAATGGCAACAAGAGACGACAATGGAACGAACAGTACATTCCCACAAAGTATAGCAAATAGGAAGAACGCCTATTTCAATGTTTTAATGAACCCTTGTGTTATTAAAGCTTATTAATATGTAATTATGATCGTTAGTAACGTTATAATTCTAGTTATGAAGAAGATGAGTACGCACAACCGTGTTAATTACAAACCATGTATTACCCTTTTCAAATATCTTGGCGAACCAAGGTCATCGGAACCCAAGATATATGAGTACTGTAATACTACTAAGATGCATAATAAAGGCATTTCTGTAATGTGAATGGAAAGAACAAACAGACAAAGGATGTTCTCTACCCATCGAATTACTATCACCATTTCCTGAAAGGAAAGGATAGAGAAAGAGATTTTCATCAGATTTTATAATGTATAGTTTTCGCCCGCGACTCCGTCCGCGTGGAATTAAAAAAACAAAACTGAGTAGCCTATGTGTTCTTTCAGACTATCCTCTACATCTATACCAAATTTCATCGAAATTCTTTCACCAGTTTAGGCTACAAACTCTAACAAACATCCATCCATCTAAACTTTCGCATTTATAATATTAGTATGACTAGTATGATTATAGCCGAATAATAAAATCAGTGTTTAAATCAAGCATAGACTTTATTATATCCTTAATTCACGCTTCATGACACTAGAATGTGGAGATTGTTTGATAAATTTGTTCCCATGACCTTAGTTCAAAGTTTAACCTACCACAGTTTGTTGTATAAACCTGGTTGCAACAAATTATTGTCTTAAAGTTTTCTTTGCTTTATCCACGATTGGTATTAAATTAAGGATATTATAGATATGTTTTCTTTCATATAATCTATCTAAATATACATGTAATAAAATTGTAGTGTCTGTATTATCAAAAGAAAATTTCCAGATTTTGGAAAGATGTATTTGCGTTGCTGATAACCTAAAACCGCATTTTTTTGTCTGTCTGTATCTCCGAAACGACTGGGCCGATTTCAACCAGACTTTCTGTGAAGGATAGCTGTCATAGACGGTCATATATATACGCTATTATTTTATCTTAATATTGCGTGGGCGTAGTTGCGGGCAACAGCTTATTATAGATAAAAGCAATTACCTAACTAGATTTTTTCCCCCACAATACTTTTTACCTCTGTGATAGCAAAAAATTGTTTTAACTATGCAATTATTTTTACAACACGGACGAGGTAAATGTGTATAAAACAGGCTATTTTAATTATAGGTTATCTGTACCGATTAACAGTATAACATAACAAGCCTATTAAACCTGAACGTCGATTGAAAAAAATTGTCACCTCATCGTAGTGAATTATCAAAACTGCCTTAATTGAAATACATCATTTAAACAAAAAGAAACTGTTTACGTAAATATCGCTTAGTTTAAAATAACCCTTAATTTTCCACTAGTCATAAATTACCATGCCTTATGACAATTTGGCAACGCCGAACGAATTTCAACGTCGCGTGCCGTTTCACTGCCAACAAATTGAACTAGCAACACTACGCGGATGAATATTCTGAATTTTAAATATTACGTATTTAATCTTGTCAAATTAAGTACACAATCCTAAGCGCCACTTATCGTAAATTACATTATAGGCTTAGTGTTGTTGGTAAATACGTTCAATATTGATAGATGTTTTAATTTTATATAACGTTTATAAAATACCAAGACACTTGTGCTTATTCTTTGCAGCCTTCTAACAAAATGGCAAATACCATCCTCGGACTAAACATTCACAGTATACTTTAAAAGTGTGTTTTAAATTGCCATTAGCGCCAACTAGTTTACTGAGATATTTTAATTAACCAGATTAATTTTCCTTTTCCAGAATCGTTCCAGGAATGGGGAAATCAAGCAATACTCCTAAAAGCGATTGTAGCACAAAGACATTTTAAGAACCCGAAAGACATCTGATATGAGTGAACTTCTTGTGGGATTGTGACCGTTATAGCGATGGATACGCTACATGTTCACGCGCACAGCAAGGGCTCGAGCAGGAGTCAGTCGCCGTCAACCGCCGACCTCGCTAGGGACCCGTCTGTCGTCACCGATGACGTCATCAGATCGAGAGTTCAGTCACCCTCTACCGCGCACCATGTCGTCAGTGTAAGTACGCTAAGGGATTTGAACTTTGAACTATTCTCAGAGGGAACAATTAAGTGTAATTAATGGAAATAGTTGTCTAGATATTTATCTGAAATAGCCTTTAATAAGATTAAAATAGTTGAGTTCATTGCCTTAGTACTAAACTTAAAAGACCTAAATTTAATTAGTCACTGATGTCAGCTGGTATATTTCAATAGTAGATTTTTAAGTTCAGAAGTATCAGTGTCGTGTAAAAACAAGTAAATTGAAGTGATTTATGTTAAAACATACAAATAAATTTATTTTATTATTGTATTAACATCTATTTGATTTACGAGTGCTGTCGAATAATATCAACTTTATACACCACTTACGTAGTTGAATTGTGAATTTAATCGTTATACAGAATGTTTCGAGTCTAGACGTCTCAAACCGGCGCCGTATTCAGTTAGGGACGAGTTATATAAATACTTCGTCAAAGCCTTTGTGTATTGACTTATTTACTTTATAATACAAGTTTGCAAGATGACAGTTTAATTAAACATTTTTCTTGTTATCGTTTTAAATATGTTGTAATAAAAAATAAATGGAATAAAATAATATCAAATTTCCTTGTAATAATTTTAATCAATGTTTTCTTGCATATGTTCTGTACGGGTTACCCTAAATGCAGTTTGTTTTAAAATCTAATAATAAATAATTTGTCAACGGTTTGTTTTATACTAATTTGGGCCAATTATTGTTATCATAACTAATATGTAGTTAATGTTAGTTGTACGCTAGATAACCCCGCGTGTGTCACATAAGCTTGTAGTACAAACTCGTATAACAAATATATTGTGTTGTTAGATTTAGTGAATTAAAAAAAATAGTTCTTGTAGTATAGAAGTGCTGTTGTTGTATTGAAGTGTTAGGGTAATTTAAAATTAAAATTACACAAGTAAACCTGATAGAAAGGCGGGTTTTTATTTGAATTTTTTACTTATTATTTGCAAATTCATATTTTACAGTAATCTTTATAACTGAGTTAATAAATACCACTAACTTGTTAACTGCGGGTACCAAATATCCCTTATTTAAATATGTAGGTAGAAGCTTTACATTTCGTGTAGCCTAAATTAAGCATTTTTTATATTTTCCAGGAGCCGTCATCGAATTCATCATCGCGTCACAGTGAGCGGGGCGCTCATCACGTCAAGTCTCACTCCAGAGACCTGGGCAACAGCTCGATGGTCGCGGGCACAGCTAACACTTCCAGAGAGTAAGTAATACGTCATCTTCCTTATCCTACTCCCATAAGTTCGGCGTGACAGGTTTTTGTCCTCCACATAACTCTATCATACGTCATCTCAGTCACTCCCTTCATGTCACTTTTTACGCAATCCATCCTTTCTAGGTCTATCTCTACCGGTGTACTACACTCAGAACTAACAGAGTTAGTAATACAGTAAATAGTATTTTGGAACGATTTGAAATTGTGTGCGAATAGTATGAGACAATTTGTTAGCGTTTTTTCCGTCTGCTTTCGTCTTATGAATGGCGTTTGGTGCCTTAGAATATATTAATTTTATAAAATCTATTAGCACATATAAAGGTGGAAATACACATGCTAGTAAAAAAGAGGAACACTGGCATGCAAGTTAGCGTTTATATATGTCTATAGCTGGCATGTACCTTACGTTTCTTTTGTCCATATTTGTAAATACCTGTTGAGAATTGTATAATAATATTTGTAGAGAAATTTACAACGTAAACTCATGTCTTTTTTAATTGTCTGAACTTAAATATGATAAATAATGAATTACGAAAACCATAAGTACAATATTATCTATCGATTGTTACTGTAGCAGCAAATGCGAATTTCTCTTGCAGGCCAGGTCAACCGTGAGAATGCATGCACACGGTATATTCCAATGCCAACAATTAACCTAAATATCACAACTAAAACAGATTTTACTTTATTAAATAGTTGATAAACACATTATTAATACTGCCAAGAAAGCCCTAAATAGTCACACTCAGATGTAACTAATTCCACTTTTTTTTTTATAACATAAGGTGGCAAACGATCAAGCGGCCACCTGAATCCGCCAAAGTGGCGAAGCAACCGCCCATAGACATCCGCTATTGCAGATGCGCCTACACTTATACGACGGAGGAAAAGACGCACATAAAGAGGATATTTCCCCTTCCTATGCATCTCCTCCACCGTCGAATCCACTTCCCCTTCCCATCCCCTCCTTATAAGAAAAGGGTGGTAAAGAGAAAGCGACTTAAATTAGGCCTCCGGCACAACACTCATCAGACGAAACACAGAATTGCTTCCATTTCACGCTTGTCTTCTGTGTGGTCGTGGTATTACACCGGGCATGTCCTGCAGTGCTAAGATGTTAAAGCGGGCACTACCAATTAAATTCGCGTGCGGACCTTTTACTAAACTATCGCATAACTGTTTAATCTCGCTTTGGTTCCTATGACCATATATGGAGGTGCACACATTACTTGATTTTTAGTCACGCAACTAAACAGTTGAATTGACTTCGAAACGAACGACTATCGCACCACAGATATGCGATATTTAGTCAAAAGTGTGCCTGCTCTTTTAAAGATCAATTAGCGTATATATTTAGGTTTTTTTTTATTTTTTTTAAAATGTTTCCAGTTTGGAAGACTCGCCGCAGAAGAAGAACTTGTCAGGTCTGGTCACGGCGGTCGACTACACTTGCCCCGTGTACAGCCCCAACGTCTCATACGCCATGTCCTCCGCTGATGAATACGGATCACCCGCATATAGATGTAATGTATCTAGCTGTTGCTTCGAGCTTTGCATGCGTGAAAAAAAAAAACAAAATATAGCCTATGTTTCTCACAGATAAATTACCTTTCTAATGGTGAAAGAATTTTTAAATTCGGCCCAGTAGTTTTTGCGAAAATCAAATACATACAGAAATCCAAAAATACTAATCTTTCCTCTTTAAAATATTAGTATAGATTTATACGTTTAATCATTTAATGATTACTTAAATAATTCTTCTACAGTTGACTTTTTACAATTTCAGCTCAAGATGGCGACTATTCTAATCAAGGTAATGACAGTTTTAATTTATTTTGATTACATTTGTAACCAATTTAATCAATCAGATTATGTAAAAAAAACATACAGACGAATTGAGTACCTCCTTCTTGTGGAAAGTCGGTCACAGATAATCTAACAGTGGTAGAGCCCGCTTTAACATCTTCGCACTGTAGGGCCGGCACGCCCGGTGTAATACCACAACCACACAGAAGACAGGCGTGAAGTGGGAGCAATTCCGCATACAGTCTGACGAGTGTGGTGCCAGGGGCCTAGTTTTAATCCCTTTCTACCCTTTTCTTATAAGGAATGAATAGGAGACGCACAAGAAGGGGAAATACATTTATGTCCGTCTCCACAATTAAGGGTAGGCAAAGCATCTGCAATTGCGAATGTTTATAGGCAGCGTAGTTTCGCCATTTTGGCGGATTCAGCTGGTTGTGTTTGTCATCTTAGATATAAAAAAGCCATCTATGGAATTAATATATTTGTTATATTTCCAGATGACTACGACGGTGGTAATGCGACGTCAGCGAAGGCGTTGGCCGCCATCGCCCATCTCAACAGCAAGATTGAACGAACCAAAGACCTTATACGATTAGAACAGACAAACAGAGATGGTGAGATTTAATTAATTACAAATATAAAATAGATTAAGGGCCTGTTCCACTAAATAGTAAATTGTCTGTTTACAATCGAACGTGTCAAATATGTGGTGGAAATATCGGATTTTCTCCCTTTATCTGACAGTGACGTCATTTTTAAGCTATATGACCCTCTATCAGCCACATAATATCCTTTAAATTTCATATATCAATATCTTTAACATGTTTCGAGTTAAGTGGTGTCAAACATCCATCAACCAACATTAATGTTTTAGAGAACGTAAACGAGTACCTGAAGTTAGCAGCGAATGCAGACAAGCAGCAGTTGCAGCGCATCAAAGCAGTATTCGAGAAGAAGAACCAGAAGAGTGCGCTCTGCATCGCACAGCTGCAGAAGAAACTAGAAGGTTATAACAAGAGGATTAAAAACTGGGAGGTAGGATCAAAATCGAGAAAGATATCGCGATCCTTGGAACTCCCGCTTGTCATTGTATGACTTTATTTATATAAAAAAAAAACATCTAAAACGTATTTTCGCTTTAATTAATAAATTATTATATGTTTCTAATTATTATTAAATCATATTTCCAGCAACACGGCACAAGCGGGCAGGCGCACAGACAACCTCGAGAAGTTCTACGTGATATGGGACAAGGCTTGAAGTAAGTCTTACAATATCGCTGAATCTATATTACTTAGGTTGCCTCTAAGTGTAAATATTTCATAATATACTAAAAATCACCTGTATAAATAAATATCTACTTTAAAGGTAATTTTGCTCTTATTTTAAGTGTGAAAGTTTAGATGTATGGATGTTTATAACTAAAACTCCAGAACGACTTAACGAATCTCGATGAAATTTAGTACATATATACAACATAGTGTAAAAGAACGTAATAAGTAACAACACGTCAGTACTCAGAGAGATAAAAAGGTATAGAGATTTCCAAGTGTCTTGTCAGTTCGGAACAAGGCACAAGGGCAGAGCTGACAACATTTTTAAACTATACTATGTGGTTATTATTAACTAATGTAATAATTTAACAGGAATGTGGGCGGCAACATACGCGACGGCATCACCGGTCTGGGCGGCAGCGTGATGGCGGCGCCCAGAGAATTCGCACATCTCTTCTCTCGCTCTAACAGATTCGGATCCGCGGACAACATCGCACAGCTCGCCGGTCTGTATCACTATTAGTATTTAAATAAAACGGCCATACTCCGGTATTAATTATACTTGAATATGGCCGTTCGGCCGATTGGTTATACTCTCTTTACACCTGGGTATGGACGATTTAAATGTAACGGCCATACCTGGGTATAATTGATTTCTATGTTTATGTCCTGTTATGTTATTGTTGCAAGGGCAGAAATTATTGTAATCAGTAGTAAAACCTACTTTTAATAGTAAACAGTATGGGAAAGTACTACAGTACTAAAATAATATGCATAAATATTTTTAATGAAAATTTAATAACGAAAGTATTTTGCTGGTACTATAAATGATATTAGGAAACATTAGAACAAAATTCTTTTTTTTTTACACATGGAGCATTCGAATTTGTATATTTTGTTGTTGTTTTGATATTTTATTACCATAAAAACTAAATGTTAACAATTCCATTTATTTTCATCACACCCATTATATTATTGGGTCAATTTCATTGCATATTATTGTTCCTCAGTGTAAAACTAACTCTATGTATTATTTATTTTTTTAAGTGTTTCACAATGTTAAAAAAATATTCTATGTACAGCAATAACTATATATCAAAACCAATCAATTATTTCTGTAGTATTAAACGGAACAAATTATTTAAAGAGAAATATAATTATATTTTTGTGAATTTAAGATTTTTATATTAATACTGGATTTCAATACAACTTCAAATATGAATAGACAGAATATTATATGTAAATATTTATATACTAAATCGTAATTGGCTGTTTATTTAAATAATATATTTTGTCTGACAGAGAACACGGGTACTTGTAAGTATGAGTGGTAGCAAATCATTCATTATTAATAAAACATTATTAACATCAAACCCTAGTTAATAATACTGTTTAATAGTATAAATTGATATTAGATTATTAATTTCATAGGAGTTGAAACTTTTTCGTTAAGTTTTTGTTATCGGGCTATAAAATCATTTGCAAGTAACATTATTTGCTAGTGTAAATAACACTTGTAATAAAAAGAATAAAGCTTAATAGACTGTTTTAGCGCAAAATATCTGATCATAATCGCTGAATTACTACTAGGTTTGTTATTTTAAAATCAATGCAAATCATTGATAGACAAATATAAAGTAGTTGTTTCGATTGCTTTGATAGATAAAAGATATATGCAGTTATCTCTTAAGATTTCACAGGAAATAGATAAATTTAGATTTACTAAAAAACGTTAAAAAACCTTTTATCTGTGTACATAAGTTTCCTCTAACAAAACACTCGCACGAAAACATTATCTTAGCAAACAATTGTATTCTCTAAATTTCTTCTAAACCTCGCCATTCCATAGTATCTTAAAAATTACGTGATATATTACAAGCCGAAGTTTAACCGATCGCGCCTCTCTATCGCTCGTTCCGACCTCTCACTCGCACACACAACTTATTTAAAAGGTGAATAAGTAATGCTTTTCGCTCCGGCGTCGTTTATTAATTATAATTACGTTAAAAAACTTATGACAAAAAAATAAACGTATGAACGTCTATACTTTTTACGGTTATATTTCAAATACAAGTTAACCTTCAAAGATACGTCATAAGCATTTACATAACATTTGATAAACGCAGAGATAGTCTTCCAATGGCAGCGCGGGCGCACACACGTACATATGAGTCATGATTTCAGTGATTTTGTAATATTATAATATGTTTTTCCGCAAGTGTAAGAAATGCCGGAAGAAATGTAAATAGAATTTGTTTTTTTTTCTTGTAAGAAATTATTTTTATTTATTCAAAATTATCATTTGATAGTTACGGAAGTGTTTTAGTATAACAGATTTAGTAAGACTTCATTATTATCGCTTATTTAAGGTTTTATTTGCTTTATTTAGTAAAAAAAAATCTAGTATTTTCCTATATTTTAATAGTTTTTTGACTATAATTTTATATTTTTAAAACTATAGTCACAGTTTTATTTTAAAAACATGTAGTAAAATCTTTTCCCCTTAGTAAAGATATAACATAGTGATTTTTCTTTACCCATAGTTTCATTTTAAATAAATATTTATTATTATATTCTTGACCACACTTTCTTCAAAATTGCACTTATATGTCCTACTTCAGTCTCCTATATTGTATTTAATAATGTACAATGCTTCTTTTAACATATAAACACCTGTGTAATTGTTGCTTATCATGTTGTCTCATTCTTGCACGCTAGCCCCACAACATGCGGAACTGAGAGGTAAATATATGCTAATTATCACATTAATACTTGTAACAATGCTTTATAACGTGTTTACGATGCATACAGTGATCTTGCAAAACAGTTTATTAGTCACTTTTAACACTTTGCGTGCGACACAGTATGTAAAGTATAGTGGCATTGGATGTGTTAAAAATGTTTTTTTTTGTATTCTCGTATAGGAATTAATTAAAAAGCTATATCTAGTGTAAAAAGAATAGAATAGTCCACATTTTATATATTATTTGTTTTTATTTTTTTTTGTTTAGCCACAAACCCTTTCTTGTAATATTATAGCTTAATATAATCCGAAAGTCGCTTAATTTGTTTGTTTCGCCTATTTTATTTATTTATACAAAATTCATGCATGGATAATGCTCCTCTCTATATGGAGGCCGAAGTTACGAGTACTTAGTGATTAACTCTCAAAGCCAATTTATCTCGACCCCTCCCGCTGTGATTTAATAGCAATGACATTATCTTGCAATTATGGTTGTCATAAACGTTTCGATTACTAAAAGAATTATATTTTACAATCCGTTTATAATTGCACGTATTCTTTTGGTGGAAGAGACATCAGAAAACACTTTTCCCCGTTTAATTTTGAGTATAGTATAAAAGTAATTAATAATAGTAAGATTGAACTACCTAATGGTAAAATTCAAGGATAGCATTTTATTATAGATGAAAAAATTACCAAATATGTGTTCATAGTACGGCTATAAAATATTAGATATACATTTACATTCGATACACATGTTACCGTTGTTTATTCATACAATTTTCATCACCTATGCAGTCTCACAATCCCTCACAAAACCATGTCATTAGAAAGGTTGTTAATAAACGCAAACTTACAACTTAAATATTTTTAATTATAATATTGAAAATTTTAATATTTTAATATGTCAATTTTTGTTTAACTGTTAAGCCAAACCGTCTCAAAGTCGTTCATTACTTAAAACTGGTGCTTACAGTGGATTTCCTATGACTTACTTATTGACCAATTAAATCAGTAACTGGCAGTTACTGTTGATTAAATTATTTTAAATTGTACGCTACCTTAATTAATATCATATGAAGGCTAAATAATACACTAACACACATTCAATAGAAATGAGAAACGATATTTAGACGACATTACATTATCAGAGCGCGCGCACACCTTGGATCAAACTATCGCACAACTGTTTAGACTCGCTTTAATACCTGTGTGTACATCTAAATAATTGATTTGGCTGCGAAACAATCGATAATCGCACAATAGTTGTGCTATAATTTAGTCAAAAGTGTGTGCTCCCTCTAAGAGCCTTACAAATAAACGCGGTATAAAGGTGAACTTAGTATAAGCAAAAGTTGTACCAGTATTTGCTTATATTCAGATTATTCCTAAGTTTAAATATATACCGCATTTATTTGTAAGGTTGTATGTGTTTAAATGTATAATACAAACATTTAAGTTTGTTATAATATCTCATTTCTATTGAATACGGTTGTATATTGTGTGTATTGAGTGTTGCTACAACGTGGCAGCGAACGCGTCGTCGGAAGGTTCCCGTGCGTCGGAGGCGGGCGAGGCGGCGCCGCGCGGCTCCACACTGCCTCGCGCGGCCACCTCCCCCGCGCCCAAGTTCTCACCTGACGCCTCGCCGAGCTCCTCCGTCACCAGTGAAGGCGCACCGTAACTATCTCTGTCTAACTTTATAACTTAGTATACGCTATCTCGCTCTCCCAGAATTAGAATCAGGAGGGAATGCAATTGAAAGTGGTAGAGCCTTTTACACGAATGAATTCCGAGCGGAGGCTTACCTAGTCTACTTTTATTCCGTCATCCTTTTCTTATAAGGATATGATGGAAAGGAAGCGTTAATTTGAAGGAAAACAGGACGCATAGGAAGGGGAATTATCTTTTTCTGTTCGTACAACGTTGGTCATAAGTGCGATTACAGTCGCTTCGATATTTCAGCGGATTCAAGTTGCCGTAATATGTTTGCCTTGTAATAAAAATACAATTTAAATATTCCAGTTACCAAACGCAACCAGGAACAAATAATATGTCAGAAGCGACATTCTCCATAAAGCCGATACTGAACGAGCTGCGCGAGCGCAGGGAGGACTACGAGCGGTTAGCGGAGAAGATGGAGGCGCTTAAGGTGACCTATATTTTCATACGCAATACACATACTAGCTTTCGCCCTCGAATCCGTCGGCGTGAATTAAAAACTAAGTGTATTTATTATATAATTTCTTTAATTTATAAGTTTTCTTCTGTTTCAGTATTTCAAAAGTATGCAACTATAATCTGTTTCTCATTAATTTTTAAATAATAATGTGTTTATAGAATCTATCGCAAGAGGTATCGTTCCTGTCAGCGGCGCTGCAGGAGGAACGCTTCAAGACAGAACGACTCGAGGAACAGATCAATGATCTCACTGAACTGCATCAGAATGAGGTATGGCATTCACTTAACACAACATTTTATTAAAAATATAAACTTGTTGCCTTACAACTTGCGACAACTTACTTGGATTTCTATTTTTGTATGTATTGGAATAACTCAAAAACTACTGGACCTATTTCAAAAATTCCTGCACCATTTAAAAACTAAGTTCTTTTTTTATTTCGATAGAGGTAGACCTAGAAAGAGATGGATGGATTGTGTGAAAGGTGACATTATCAAGAAGGGAGAGATGACTGAGATGACGGATGATAGTTAAGTGGAGGACAAAAACCTGTAACGCCGACCCTACGGGAGTAGGATAAGGGGAAAGATGGTGATATAGCCTAAAGCGTAACACAAATGTAGGGCTTTTTATTAAAAAAAAGAATTATTTAAAAATGTGCTGTAATTGTTGACATCTTAGGCAACAAAGTGTGTGTTTTCGCTTTATTATAATAGTATAGATGTATTGTGTAATATTTGCAGGTGGAGAACCTGAAGCAGGCGCTGACGGACGTGGAGGAGAAGGTGCAGTACCAGAGCGAGGAGCGCATACGAGACATACACGAGGCACTCGACCTCTGCCAGACTAAAGTGAGACAATTTATTGTAAAATTCTCTATCGTATTAATATTATAAATGCGAAAGTTTAGATAGATGGATGTTTGTTAGAGTATTTAGCCTAAACTGCTAGAAGGATCTCGATGAAATTTGGCATAAATGTAAAGGATAGTTGGAAGTACACCTCAGCAACTTACTTTTGTTTTTTTTTAAATTCCACGCGGTCGAAGTCGCGAGCGCTAGCTAGTGGGCTAAAAACTAAATGTTTTTCATATATTTTTTAATTAATTACACAAAAACAAGCGTTTGTGGTTTTAACAAATATAATTTGTATTGAATAGAACACAACTAATGTAACGCTTAATTTTTTGATAATGAGATTAGAAAGCAATGATTAGAAAAAAATTACATATTTCAGTTTTTTTTTTCTAAAGACCGATGTAACGAATCTTAAACACTTCACTTCGTAGGCGCTTTACAATTTGAAAGATTTGAAAATTGTAATAGAATTTATAGTTTAAGCGTATCATTATATTTTCAGATGATCTTACATATCTAATAATATGTATACTGTATAGATCGGCAAGCTGGAGCAGTGGGCGGCGGGCGGCGGGGGCGGCGCGGGCGGCGGCGGCGGCGCGGGGGACGCGGGCGGCGCGGCGGCGCTCCCCCCGCGCCTGCTGCTCGTCAAGCTGCTCAACGTGGCGCTCACGCTGCTGCAGCTGGTGCTGCTGCTCGTCGCCACCGTCGCCGGCGTCACCATGCCCTTCCTCAGGACCAGGTACTCCACCGCACCCTCGCTCTCTCTCCCCATCTCTCTCTCTGGTGCTAAATACCTCGGCGGAGTTTGTCTTATAATGTAAGGTGACAAACGAACAACCAGTCAGGTGAATCCACCGAAATGGAAAGCGACCGCTGCCCATAAACATCCGTAATTGCATATGCGTTGCCTACCCTTAATTGTCGAGACGGAGTCTCCTCCTTCGAGGAGGATATATCCTCCACGCATAAGAAGAGGATATATACTCTTTATGTGCGCATAAAGAGGATATATCCCCTTCCTATGCGTCTCCTCCAGCATCAAATTCACGTCCCCTTCCCATCCTTTTCTTATAAGAAAATAAGTTGCTTTCGATTTATATTCATAGATTGAACTAAATTAATACAATTTAAATAATTTTCAGGGTGCGAGTTCTAACAACGAGTGTAGCGTTAATGGTTGGTGTGATGGTACTGAAGCAGTGGCCGGAGGTGACGCAGCTGTCGGACCATTTGGTAGCGCGCCTCAAGGAGTACCTGCTGGACAAACACCACGACAGGTAATGACCTTCCTACCTACCCCCTTCAGATCCACCTTCGCGTGTAACACTCGCAATCTGACTGCAATGAGGTGAAGTTAACTTTAAACTACGAATATTTTTGTTAATTTACTAATATTTTCTTTAACCATTCCAACTAAGCTGTAAGCTTGTGCTAGGATATGGTTCATAACAAATCGAATGGCTTCGAACCTTCGATCGTAAAATTAGTAGTCCGTATCCCAAACCATTAGACTATAGGCTTTAGTTATTGCAATTTAACTCTAACCGTGATTAACTTTTTACTCAAAACTGTAATAGTTTTGATATGTTTATCTTGTGGAGTGATATTTACTCCAAATCCTTTTATTGTATTTAAAAGTTAACGTCGAGTGCAGTTTCTTCCATTCCAGTGAGATTGCAAGTTTTATATGTTAGCTTTATTCCATTAATGCTTTTGTATAAACTAACAAATGTTACTAAAACATACATGTATTATATAAATTATATCACATGTTTGATTAATGCATTTAATTGTTAAATGTAATAACGCGATATTTTTTCTAACACAAATGCCTTTTGGAAAATAATAGCATTTTTGATAGTTTTAATGATTGCTTCTAACATTCACATCGTCAAATATTTTAATTAACGTTTTTTAACTACAGTAGGGATATTGTTTGAATTTATCATATTTTAAGTATATTTGTCTCAAAATCTTCGCAAAATTGTTATATTTTTCCGTTTAATAATACAAGTTTACATTTAACCAAATGTTATGTACAATTTTCTTTTATTTACCAAATAATAATAATGTCATTTAGTTTTTAAAACTAATACTGTAAAATCTCAAATTAGTGAAATTATTAAATATGTCCTTATAATAATAATCTTTTAGTAAAATAATTTAGTAAACATCTTTTGAACTATATGAATATTAAAAGGTATTTATTTTGAATTGAAAATTCAATTAGGTTTAAATTTAGGTATTGCTTTAGCTCTGTTTGAACTTTTTGATATATTACCCTTTAATTAGATTTTGTAAAGTTTTTGTAACGATCTTTTTAAGATGCCTTTAATGTCATATAGAGGGTGAATTTGGTTTTATTTTTAAACTAACAAAATCATGTAAGTACTTTGATACCTAATTTCTTCATTCCATGAATTTACTAAAACCTTGTCTTTTGTTTATTTGTCTCCTTTTTTTTTAAAACAAAACAAAATTTTTAAGTGTTATCGTTTTAATTATCTTTTTTTCTAAAGTTTTAAATAATTTTTTTTTTGCAATTTAAATGTAGAGCCAATTTTTGTTTAATTTTTTATTTACTTTTTTTTATTTCCCACTTCAGGTATGAATGCAAATCATTGTGTGGTTGAAACTATACATAGTTTTGCTGTGAATATGTTCGTGATATATCGAAATTTTATTAAATTTGGATAATATTTAAAAACAACTGATTGGAAATAATCAAGTCTGTTTTTCGTCGGTCAAAGATTGGATTGTTACGGCTGAGTAAACTTAACTCGGCTGCAGTTTTTTATAACGAAATATACGAAATTTTCTTAATATAAGGTGATAATTATGTTATATTGTGATGACTGGATTTAATTTTCTCTTTTATGTAAAAGTTATGACGCCTGATGCATATCAATTAATTTTAAGCGACAAAAAACTGGCTAACTTTTTTAATTTGTTTTATTTTTTAAATAGTTTTTTTATCTCGGGCAGCAGTAGCAAAAACTCCGAGATAACTTTGATTCTATTTAAAGATAAATTATATTCAAAATTCATCTAAATTAAGATTTTTATTATGTTCATTTTAAAAGGCTGTGCCGAGTTGTGTTTATCTTGCCATTGTGTACTAAAATAATCAAACATTGGTATTCCTTGATTAATTTATTACAACATATTTGTATATAAATTAACTACAAAATTGTACGAAATTACTCATTTTTTTATTTTTGTATTTCTAAATTTAATACAAATTTGAATAAAAATCTTATGTCGATATTAAAATAGTGAGATTTCACTATCATGTGTTGGCATAACATTCATTATCTTTGTTAATAATAGAGATAATATCTTTTGTACAGTCAGCTACATAAATATGTACACAATTACAAATCTTCAGATATACGCTTTCGGTTTCAAAACTAAATATGTATGTATCCGTATATTTCTGACTGTTAAAGATGATTTTGTTAAACCGTAGGCATATGATAAAGTTTTGTTAATTTTAAATTTATGAAGCTGACTGTACATGTGAAACGCGGTTGTATGTATTAAAAATAAGCATTTGTGTGTGTGAATATGAGTAAATTTAAAACACACAAATTAATTAAAAATTTATATACAATTGTATCTTTCGCGTATTTTCCTTATTTTGTTGTTTTCTTTGTACCAAGATGATAAAAATTTGAAATAATTTGGATTAAAAAGTACAATATGTGAGATTTTCTTGTTAAAAATTCGAAACTTCATTTATCAAAAACGGCGTAATTACCTTAGTCCTGTATGTGTGGCAATAATACTATTAAGTTTTGGACAGTTGTAAATATTGTGATCTGTGGGTCCATTTGTTTTTAATAATGCTAACAATTGTATTCCACTGCAGGGACTTGTAATGTCAGTGCAGTGGCTACAGTTATGAACACTGACCTCTATAAATGGATATGCGTGAATTTTGGCGCTATAGCGATTGCAAGTAGTGGTTAAGATTTGAACTGATTTGTTTTAATTATCAGTGAAAGATGTAATTTCCAAGTAATGACCTATCTATGTATAGAGTTCAGTCGTAATGCTCTCGTTATTTTTAAAAGGTTTTCATTATTTTAGAGTTTCAATTTTGCATCTCGAATTGCTTTAGCGTCGTAATTGTTGGCGGGTGTTGGTTTATAATTACGAATGTTATTCTATAGTATTGAAGTTGTGTATATAATTGTTGTAGAAAATGAGAGTTGGGTTATTAGCGTGGAATTCCACTGACGAGAAATTCGTACAAAAATATCGTCCTTAGAAATATTGAAATAATATTTGTACGAGTGGAAATTCACGGTATTATGAACAAGCATATATTGTATATTTCTTTTTTGTATTATACCGCTTTAATTATTTATCGATCAGCCGTTAATTTTAAAAATAATAGGGAACATTTTTTTTTTAGTAACAATTTGACGAAGTTTGAATGTAACAGTGTTATTTATTGGATATTTGGTTGATAACGTTTGTAGGAAATTTAAAGAAAATTTTATATTTTTAAGTACATAATTATATGACAGGAACTACTCACTAAAGAGAATGGTTTTGATGCTGCAAATAATCCATTTTTTTATAAAACTCCGAGAATATTGTAATCTTTCTTATTACAAAATTTACAGATAACATCTTGTAAAGAAGCCATTCTCTAAAAATATAAGTTCTTCAGTTATTTCTATATTGTACGTTTATGAGAACATTCCAAAATTTTCTTAATTTTTAGATAACAATGAAAATATTTCTAGATTATCACTGGGATATTCAATTACTTGCTTTGAATTTAAAAGCATTTTTTTAATTTCTATTATGATATAATAAATATTACTTTATTACACAATAGTAACAAGTAGGAAAATTGTGAAAAAACTACATTAGTTTTTTTAAAGTGTCTTTTTTCATTTTAAATTGTCTTTATTAGTCTTTCTCTTGATTATCATTACAGTTTTCTTTTTAAACTTTCAACGAATAAAAATGAAAATATGTTTAAAAAAATATTGACGTTTTTCAATTTTCGTGTTTTAAGAAAATGTTTGATGCATCGAAAAATATTGGTTTTAATGAGAAATAAGTCCAACATGAACTATGATAAGCAGAAGCTTATGTTTATTCCTTTAACCGTAGGTTTCCACTGCAGAAACTTGTATAGCATTGTTGAAAGATAATATTGTTTGTGTATATTTTTTTCTATAAAACTACCGTGGAAACCGGTTTTAACATGTTATGTTAAAAATAATCTGTTCCTAGGGTCTGTCAATTATCATGTGCTTTAATTATTATTTCGTCACCTTTTTATTATAATGTGTGAAAATTTATAATCTGTGTACATTAGATTAGATCGAGAAATTTTAAAAATTTGAACTTTAAAACTCACAATACATAGTTTGAATATTCTTTATTCATGAAAGTAAGTCTAATGTATGCAGTTTATAAGTTTTATTATTTGAATTCTTCTATGTGGATATGTAATTTATTTTAATGCAAAATGTGTCCCATCGATTTCGTATTATTTCTTATTACTATGAAAATGCATGACTTTGTATGTTTTTATTTTATTGCCGGCTGTGGATTGAATATAAATCATCACAATTTTTTATTATATTTTTGTTTTATTTCACTTGAATATTTTGATCACAAATTTCTTGTAAGGGATGTTTTTCAGGATAAAGACTACATGAAATAAAATATAATTCTTTATTTTAAATTATTGTTATAAAAGTAAGAAATCTATTCAAATTCAAATGTTTAAAATAAATGTACAGATGTACTTACAAAAATGTATACAATACGTTGAATTTAGTTATAAAATCAATTTATAACATACACATAAAAAAATAAATTGCATTTCAATTCTCTTTGTACGTAATGTTCCAATTTATTAAAACTACAACACAATAAATTATAATAAAAATAATAGAAAAATAAACATTCTATAAAATCTTTGCATAAAACATATAAATTGTTATAAAAAAATAATTCTTCTGTTATACTGGTTTAATAACTTTTCAATTATGTAAATATCGTTGTTTTTCAATAATAAAAGTCATATTTTATTACCGCGACTTTTATACCATCTAAACTTTTGGGTAGCCATGAAATCTATATACAAAAGGTAACATTTAAATTATTCTTTCGTTTCGTCCGTGGAAACCGACTGTGTTCTCGGTAGTGGTGACAAGTTATCGGGTTTCGGAGGCAGGGCTGGCTTTTCTATCACTGGTGTTAGGTCTGTGGTCTCTTCAGTACTTTCACTGACGTCATTTTCGGCTTCCGTTACATCCGAGAAAACGGTTACTTCTGAGTTTTCAACCCTATAAATACGTAAATTTATGACGCCACTATGAATAAGTGTATAATTTAAAAAGAACGATTTAAAGTAAAAAAAAAACATTTTTAGTTGGATAATTAAAAAGATTTAAAAAAACTTGTTACAAGATTTAAACTCGAAAAGGGTACTGTTTGAAGAATACGAATCGATTGACATCTCATAAAAATATTTTTAAAATATGTCTTTAAAGTAATAAAATATGTAATCGTTGAGTTGAAGCTTTTAGAAGGTTAAACTGTGCAGGAAAGAATTATTAAAAAAGTAAAGTTTTAAAACACACAAGACAAACTTCAAAATATACACACACACTGAATTATTAAAACACACCCAACACCAAAGTTACAAGAAAAGGAAATTGCGTTTAAACAAGTAAAATAAAGATTACCTGTTGTTCCCAATTTGCAAAATTCCCAAATGTGATGAAATGGTGAATTTAAAACACAAACCAAACCCTCGAAAATGTAAAACATTATTTACATAAGTACACAAACATTAAAGTGCTGTTCCACTGAAAAATCTGCTCACAGATATTACCATCTTTCCCACTCTCTAAAACAGAGACAGCAGTAACATTTTGTCAGTGGAAACCGATACTTAAAACAACCAGGTTCATGTTAATATTTCAAAACAAATAAGGTTATTCAAATAAATTCAATATTATTTTCAATTCCGATTTATTTAGGCTTACAAATGTTACAACATAAATGACAGCGTACATATATGATATAGTTTAAACAATAGTTGTTCTTTAAAGTCACTATATTTAGCGATAAAAATGATTCCTCCGATATATCGAACTAAAATCTAAAAGGAAATAATTCTATAAAAAAATCTTAAAACGTCTAAAAAAATTAATTTACAATTAAAAATGTATAAATCGTTGTTTCCCATAGGAATGTCACAAATAAAAAAAAATCTAAAAAATATATTTCACATTAACTTAAGTAAAGAATATACATTTTCAAGTTAAAATATAGAATGTATTGGTTAAACTTAACATAAGTATTGAAATGCCGAATTAAGGAATGCTGAACTCTGAGAGGAATGTTCAATACTGTTTTATTATCTCGATATTGTTTTTTTTTTAATGTACGTATCAAATACAGTCAGCGTTAGTCTGTGGTTGTTCAAATCATTTTTACCATAGATTAAGTGGTCTTTTTTCTTACTTCGCATAGAGTAATTTAAGTTTAAAGTTTAAAAAGATACAATTAATGAAATTATTTGGCACATTTTACTGTAATTTACGCCAAACGAAAATCTCCCAAATAGTAAGAATGTCGACTTTACATTACTGTACTTAATTGTTAATCTTTGATTTTGTTAAACAAAGAGTAAATGAAATTAATAAAATGACAAACGCTGACTGTAAATGAGTAAATATTTACGAATATATAAATCGCAAAGAAAACAAATCTCATATATTGGAAGGCCAATACCTTATGAAGCTAAAAAATGTCTTTTGAAGCAATTACTTAAAAACCTAGCTTCTTTATTTCTATGCCTTAAATAATTTCGCAAAGAGTACTGGTAAAAATGTATAAAATTCATTGACATGATCTAATACTAAATGTCGATAAGTACTAAATGCGTTAGTTCGATAAGACCGAAAGTCCTATGTCGCGTATAATAAGTTATTATTTATACAATATACGACATATTACAAATATTAAAATACCGCCGTATCCACAAACAGTTGGGACGATCACAAAACAAAATCCATCACCTGACATCAGTGTAAACAGGACTTAACTAAACCATCAATTCCACTGGTTGAAGAAAATAGAATTGTAACAGACGATAATATTTTCTACATTGAACATTACAGTCAAAAAAACTACTGGTAGACTCTCTGTATAGTTTGATATTTGTGGCAGAAATCCACATTGCATCAGCTTGATAAATTAAAAAAAAACACTCGTAACGTCCGCTTTATAACTTGTAGTAGATTTCTGCTCCTTTATTCAAAGAGAAACTAAACTTTAGATCTAAAGCGAAGAACGAGAAATTTTAAAGCATTGCGGAAAGAATGTATTGTAAAGCAAATTGATAAAATTGTGCAAAACTTATACAAGTGAGACAATAATTTACAATATCGATTATTATACTCGATATATCGATAACATCAAAGGTGTAAAATTAATATTAAAACCGTCGATTTTACCGATAAATCGATTACAGTTCTGTTTACACTGCGCCCCTCACCTTATATATCGAATTATATTTATATAGGAAAGTGCTAAAATATGCAACATTGAAAGGTACATTTCCTTATATGGAAGTTTTTAAATTTCTCTGTACCGGTGGGGTTATAATATTTATTTCTAGTGGCTTATTTGAGACAATATTTTTTTAAGCCACTAAAAATAATTTAAAACACACATTTCCTTAGGCCATAATTAATTCCCGAATTATTCCCAAGCTGTTTGTACCCACACATACATTATTTTTTCACCAAAAACACAATTTGATTGAATTTTTAAACTTTTTCAACCAAAAAATAATAATTAAAACTAATTATTAAAAAACTAAGCATGTATAGTTATGGCTAAATGGTATTCTTACCATTTTGTACTTATTATATGTAATTATATTAATATATCAAGTGTACAAATTATAAATGAGTTTTATGTATGCACTTTTAATAAACATGGTGTGTATTTTTAAAAATAAATCAAAACGTGGTACAGATTAAACATCTCGATACCATGAAATTTTAATAGAGACGGCTGTCAAAGAACATTTTTACTTTGAACAGTACTGACAGCTGTCAAACTTTCATAGAGTAAAAAGGAAATAGAGAGTACACTAATAACTCAATAAAATGTTAATCTGTTCAGTTATGTATTCCAATCAATGTTTAACCACAGAAACAAATTTAAACTCGTGTACTCAGCGACGGATATTTGAATGGCTGTCACGTCCTAGACTAGGGGGTGGCGAACTTGGATTTATCAAAGTCCCATTTTCTATAGGAATGTTTAATACGGTCACATGATCAAGCAATTTTGATAATTGGGTACATTTTACAGCATTTTCGTGCAGTTTAAATGCATTAATAAAGTTTTTGATGTGTCGTGTCAAAAATATTGTCGCATGCCATTAGGTCACCCCTGTCCTAGAACGATCGTGTTCGTTATATCATTTCATAGAATATAGCAGTTCTTATCCTGCTAACCATTGTTTCAATGTAATTATTAAAAATTCAATCATTGTGTACATCGCCGACCAATGTCCTATAGAAGGGGAGGGGGGTTGTAAAAAATCCTTTTTTATTCTAAAGAGATAGCTTAACAACCTGAGTTGATATTTTAATGACAAATTGACAATCGTTTATTTACCTTAATGCCAAATACTGAAACGAATCTTAAACATCGCTTTGTAATCGCAAATTGGCTTGCAAACATCTATACTAAATTAGAAAGAGGAAAGATTTGTAACTGTTGTATACATAGAAATAATTCAAAGATTGGGCCAATTTTAAAAAGTCTTTCACCATTGGAAAGCTACGTTGACACTGAAAATGTGAAAATCGGCTCAATACTCAGCTATTACAATACATAATAAAAAATACAAATCTATCCTCTCTATAAGTATAGACAGGAATTGCATACATATTTAAATGTTACAATATTAGACATTTAGGTATTTTACCCCCTCCCCCTAAGCCCGGTATGTACTCACTTAGCGAGCGGCGCGTCCATCTGCGGAATGTAGTCGAGCGCCATGAGGCAGGCGAACACCGTCATTATCAACTTGGGCTTGCGCTCGGTGATGTCCTCGGGCAGCGCGTACACGCGCGCGCCGCAGCGACGCGCCATCGATATCGCGTATTTAGCGTTCGCTAGATTCTCCTGAAATACAAAATGGTTGACAGAATTAATGTCAACCAACCCGCAGTGCAGCGTGGTTGATTATAATTGATATATTGTGTGGATATTGGTGAATATAAATCAAACGATGTCTTGAGAAAATGCACGCCGTATATTCAGTGAACATAAGATGGAAGATGAAGTTACAAAAAGTGTTGCCACTAAAAAAATTATGGTTGCGTTCTCAACTATTTCTAACAACTATGGCCTAGTCACCCCTAATTAGGGTAGGCTCCGAGCCCCTCGGTGGGGACATGCGAGCTGGTGATGAATAGATTAAATATTTACCTAGTCCTCACTGGCTTAACATATCTTTGAATTTCTTTGCCATCGATTTTTTTTTTCAGTTACGTTGAGAAAATGGTCAAATATAGTATAGTGGCTTATACGGACAAATGTACTATGTAAATAGCATATCTTACTAATATTATAAATTCGAAAGTTTAAATGGATGGATGTTTGTTAATATTTCCACAAGATTGAACAGATTTCAATGAAATTTGGTGCAGATGAAAAACATAGTATTTTTTATATTCCGCATGAACGAAATCGCAAGCTGGTGTATAATTATGTGAGAAAGTTTTTTAGTGGAAATATATTGTCAATTTTCCAATTTTAGCATCAAATGTCGGTTTGTCAATAATAAAAATATTTTGAGGTTATACAAAGGTTATAGTATAAAAAAATTAAAAAAGTGTAAACAAGTTACCTCCTCATTGCCGCCGTGCAGCACGAGGTCATAGTTGATGGAGCCAGGCTTGATGGCATCGATCAGGTCGATCACCACTTTACCGTCCGCTAACACTTCGTCCTGAAAAAAATATTATAAGTAATGTTTAAGAAGATATTTTATTTTAATATATTATACAGTGCTAAGTGATCATTAAAAAATGTTTCGAAAGTTTATTTTCTAAGTACTATTATTGAATTATTAAGCTTATAAATTGACAGAAACAATCTTCCGGTATGTTAATAAACACAGTACAGACCTGGAAGCTCTTAATGGAGGATGTTTTGCCGGCGCTTTGCAGCTTATTGTTGACCCACTGCACGATCTCCTTCTCAATAATGGGACTGCCAGTGTTGGCGAGCCGCGTCAGCACCGACAGTGTGTATGCACGCATCAGCTGCCAGATCAGAGCTGCAACATGACATATCAACTCATCACAATCTATCATATCAACTCATCACATTACATCAACTCATCACAACATATTACATAAACTTATGACAACCTCTCGCATCAACTCATTACAACCTATCATATTACCTCATGACAACTTGTAACTTATAACTCGTAACATAGGAAAAACCAATCTCATGATCTCATCATAACGTGTGATAAAAAAATCATAGCAAACACAGTTATCACAGTGCTGACGCACGGTAAGAGGTAAATTCATATTAATATTACATATATGAGTTAATGTAATAGTTTATATGAGTTGTTATGAATTTATGTTGAAAATACACATTTTTACTGTCATAAACACTCTCTTACGGTTACAAAAAACATCGTGATGCATCCTGCATATATCAGCGAAGAAATTCAAAGATATGTGTGTAGTCAACCCATAGTCAGTCAGCGTGGTAAGGCCTAGTCACACTGAGGGTACTCTCCGAGCCCCCCAGTGGGGACATATAGAGCAGATGATGATGATGATGATGATGAAACTAACCGAGTGTGAGTGTGGCATTGCCCTCGTTGATGTCAGCGCCGGCGATGCCCACCAGCGAGAAGCCGAGCTGTCGGCCGAGCTCCACCGCGTAGTTACAATTCTCCAAACGCTCCATAAACTTACGCAGTTTTGAAAACTGTCTGTGTACCTACAATTTGTAATAAATATAAGCTATATGTTAACGTCGATTTTTATAACAAAAGTCAATACAGCAACCGTATCCATTGGTTTTTCGACAATACCCTTTATAAATAATACATTTTTAGCACACCGGAAATGAGGTCGATAACAAGTGTCAACTGTCCCTGATACACATTTAATTACTTTACTGTTTATGATGATTTTAGATTTTATTGTGTTAAAATAAAAAGTTATTCAGGTTAAGTTTGTGTAAATAAAATTATGTAAATAATTTTTTTTCATAAACTTAGCGATATTTTACATAGGATTTATGATACCCAATCTGCAAATCGTTTATATTTTGTGTCTACATTTAAAAAAAACGATATTTCGGAACATTTCAAGGGCATAACTAGGTTTTTAATTTTGCTATAACGTTGAAAAATCATAATACAGCCGTCTCCGAATTAAAAAAAATCAACCGACTTCCAAAAGAAGGATGTGTAGTCTGTATATTTTTTAGAAAAGTTTCAATTTACGGCCTCTAGAGGGCGCTTAAATATGAGTATTACCTTCTTCCAGTTGACGATGCCAGGCTTGATAATATCGTAGAGCTGGAAGATGACGAGGCCGTCAGTGAGGTCTGAGTACAGCCAGTTGACGTGCGGCGCCACACCCATAGAGTTCATCCAGTTGCGGTACGCTGCGGATAGTTTAAGATACGTGTTAAAGTTGGTTTACACTGACGCGAGATATTTCCAAAAGTACATTCATTAGAAGGAAGTATAAAATAGACTGTAGGAATGTTGGAACATTAAGTAGTTGAAGTTGGAATTAGTTGATCGAGTGGCACCGTGATTGGAATGTTGAAATGTTATATTACATTAAACGGTTGAAAATAGTTGATTGAGTAGACAGTTGAGTGAAAGTAAGTTTAAAACGGACTTACAGAAATTTGGGACATTAGGTGGTTGTAAGGTTGTAATTAGTTGATCAAGTAGAAGTTTGCAATGTTAAGGGCCTGTCCCACCATTCTTGTAAATTGTCACATAACAATCTAATGTATAAAATATATGATGGAAGTAAAGGTTTTTGTTACTGTATCTGACAGTGACGTCATTTTTAAGCCAGTGGTGAGACAAGCCCTTAATGTTGAAAGTTGAAATATTATTATAACATAAAACTCACTCTTCTCCTCCCTGGTTTCATCGAGCTGGTGGTACTCCTGCGTGTCCGTGGTGTGGTTGAGTCCTGGGTGCTGGTTGAAGAGATTGGCAACGAAGGCCAAGTTGAGCTTATAAACTCCACCGACCACGTCTGCAGGTGTCACGAACGCACGGCAACGGAGACGTGCGGCTTGTTGCAGCATCACTTCAGCACGACGCATCAAGTCCGTTTCCTGATAGAAATTAATTAAATAATATCAATAACATGGCTCTTACACGTAGGCTGGGTCCAGTTTTCATACTAACATTATAAATGCGAAAGTTTAGATTGATGGCTGTTTGTTAGAGTTTGTAGCCTAAACGACTGAACGGATTTCGATGAAATTTAGCGTAGACGTAGATAGTGTGGAAGAACAAATAGGCTGCTCACTTTTGTTTTTTTTTTTTTAATTTCACGCGGACGGCGTCGCGGACGAAAGCTAGTGTATTTAAATATTAACATTTACATACCCTGAGCGCGTCCAATGTGACTCCAGCATCATCAGGCGCGATCTGCTTAAGGAGATATGAGTATATCTCCGAATCAGCGACGTCCTGCTGGAAGTTGTTGCAGCGCCGCGTCACGCCCGCGCTCTGCAGCTGGTGGTTCACCCAGCGCAGCAGAATCGCCTCCGGAGACAGCGCCAATAGATCTTCGATACGCTCCTGGAATATTTATACAGAGTATTATAATAATTGAAAATATACATACATATAGACAAAAATTTTGTTTTAAATCATTCTGTAACTTATAAAAAAGCATGTTCAACATATATTGTCTACAATTGTAATGGCTGTTAGTTGTTAAATTTTAATGAATGAATATTGAATTGGGTTGTACAATGTTGAAACAATTAGAACCACATTACGAGTTCCTAATTCATTACTAAAGGAGGCAGCATTTATTAAAGATCTGTTTAAATATACAACCATACACAATTAACATGCTATTGAGAGATATAATAATGTTTTAATATGTACCTGGTCGTTGAGCAGCTCGGTGAGTCCGGGACAGTGCTCCAAAGTGATCTGGTTGAAGAGACCAATGCGGATGATCTGCCAAAGCAGTCCCAACACCAAGTGAGGCTTACCTGAAAAATTGTTAGCAAACAATATTATATTCTGTCTATAATAATATATCTTTAGAAAATTACTAGAAAATATTATTAGATTTCAAATAACGGAGCATAATCTTAATATTATAAATGCAAAAGTTTAGATGGATGTTTGTTTGAGTTTGTAGCCTAAACTGCTGAACGGATCTCGATGAAATTTGGCATATATGTAGAGAAAAGTCTAGAAAAACTCATAGGCTACATACTTTTGTTAATTTAAATTACACGCGGACGGAATTGCGGGCAAAAGCTAGTTTAACCATGAAATACCTTTTTATTTGAATTTAATAAATGAAAATTGTTTTAAATAGACTAACAAAACTGGTGTTTGGTTTATTTTACCTTTGGCCAAGTCGTGTGCATCAATATTGACAATGTTACATCCGATGGCCTGAGAAGAGACCAGAGCGAGGGTCAAGTTCTCATGCTTGGTGTATAGTGTTAGATTCTTCTTGTTGATAGCTCGCTCATCAATGGTGTCAGGGCAGGAATGGTTGATCACTTTGCTGAAAAATAATATAACTTAAATGCATATGTTGAAAATACAACTCTGTTGTTGTTTACTATTTTATTAATGTAAGAGTTTGGACAAGAAAATCCTTTTTATGGCCTAGATTCTGTAAGTTAAAGCTACTTATGCACTGCAACTTCACTTTTAATCTATACTCATATTATAAGGAGGAAAGATATGTAGTTTTGTATGTATTGAAATAACTCAAAAACTACTGGGCCAATTTTAAAAATTCTTTTACCGTTAGAAAGGTAATTTATCTGTAGTAACATAGGCTACATTTTTTATTATTTTATAATTTCACGCGGACGAAGTCGCGAGCAACAGCTAGCTGAATATGAATCAGTTTTAGTACAAAAAAATCCTTATTAGTTAGGGTTTTTTTGTATATTATGTAATTCTCTTTTATTAAGTTATGTTAACAATCTTCTCTCTTTATAATATTAAATTACAGAATATAGTAAGATACAGTAAAATGGTGTACTCACCATAATATAAGACCATCTTTCAGTTTCTCGTATAACTGTTTCCCCTCAGCATCAATGGGCAGAAGATGTTTTAAATCTGGATCATGCTCCAAGTTGCTATTGATCCAGCCGGAGAAAGCCATCTGTTCCTCTAACCTTACAGAGTGTGTTGTGCCTGGAACATTATTGGACATGTTATGAACACCAAACTTATATTATCTAAAAGTCCTATGCAGAATTATCTTTAATAATGACCTCCTGGCTGTTGTTCCTTTTTGGTTACTTTTAAATAAAATCATGAATAATTTTTCACATTTGTTATTTCTTTCAAGGTTTTATGTAATTAATATTATTTTTTAATTAAGTTATATAAGATTTCTACATCTGTTGACAACGTAAAGTGAAGCCATGTAATAAGATTGTGCGTGTAATTTGATTGTATGTATTTATGTATTATTACATATGGAATATTTCTGCCATATGTCATTTATAAACAAGGTTAATAAGCCCAAGGGGACTAATGGACTAGATTATAATTTATTACTTTACACCATTGAACTAGAAGCCATAAAGTAAGTTCTTACTTTAATAAGAAATCAAGTTATGCTTTGTGAAAATGTAAGTAATTTATTCTCTAATGCATTTAAGACAACAAAAAAACTATTATCAGTTGTGGCTATCTTACTACTCTTGTTATTTTAGATGCGAAAGAAATGGATGGATCTTGTTAGAAGTTATTTCCAGCACGGCGTAATAGACATTACTAAACGTTTATACAGATATAGAACATAATCTGGAAGAACACATAGACTACTAAGGTTTTTCTTAATTCCGCATTTACGAAATCACGACCTAAAGATTAGTTATTAATATAATCTTGTCATGACTAGCTAGTTGAAACGTTAATTTTTTTAAAACTAATTAGCACAACGGTACTCACCATCACTGGAAGCCTCGCTCATACCGCCCAAGTGTTCCAGATTCTCTTTCTTACTGACTGCTTGTTTAAATGTACTCGCCACCTGGAAACCATTTGTAATACAAATCAAAAGAGGTTCTAGTTTAAAGTAAATTAACATAATTCTAAGGCGGATATTTAAGTATGATGGAATTCTTTTAATATTGTCATACTCCAGTTTTACCAAATACAGTCCCTATGTTTTCTTTTAATTCATTACCCTTTTGTGGTTATTGCGGATTTTGTTAAATTAATATAGATTGTTTGAATAGCATTGTAAGTGGTAGGAAAATTGCTATTTTTCGTGAATACACAGACAACTGACCTATTAAGATATCTATTCTCATATCAATTAAAATTGATTTATTGTTCATAATTAGGAACTTCATTGACATCAGTTGTATTGACGTGATAACGTGGCGCAAGCCATGCGCACGTCAATTGCAACGGGTTCAAATCTGTTGACTCTTTGATTCTATTCAATGCGTCACGCCAGTTGTTAATAATTTCATCTGCGTTTCATTGAACCAGAATGACTAACAATTTTTTTGACATCTATGCATGTATGCAATACTTTTAAGCTGTGAGATCTTTTTAAAGGAACATTTTGCGGTAACGTGTCTCGACTATAAGAGCGTGGTCACATGAAACTACTCTATCGCAAAACTTTTTAGTTTCGCTTTGATTCATGAGCTTATATGGTTAGCACACACTAGTTGATTTTTAGTTGTGCAACTAAACAGTTGAATTGTCTGCGAATAAACATATAATAACAAATTTAATCTAACAATCAACTGTTCAAACGTTTCACGCTTACTTCATCGCCTTATAATAAATGTATCATACTTAATTTCCGTTAAGGGTCTTTAGCTATCAAATAACGACACTGAGTAAGCAGCATTTAGGTAACCTGAGTATGAATTTCGTTTTTATTAACGTTTATGTGTCACGTAAGTACATAATTTTGCTTTAGATTTCGAAAGACCCTTAACTAAAGAGACACCTAAGAATGCTTTTGGGTCTGTTTGGTGGATACGGTCATAAGTCCTGCGTTTATAAACTATTTACACTTTATGAAGTGATAGTACCTGTTGTGCTTTAAGATTGGCGCACAGATCTTCAAACTCTACAAGCGACATGCCATTCCTGTGCGCGTCTCCGTTCACATTGCCGTTGACGCCGCGGCCTTGCTTCGAGCCGTTGTGGTAATACTCTTCGATCATGCAGCGAACCTGGAAAATCAAGAAATATATCAACATTACTCATTTTAAATCATAAATACATAGTAATTGATGTTACAAACATGCCTATTTAAAATAAGGTCAAATTTCTCGATAGGTTGATAATTTCCCATTATCTCACTCTTACTAATATTATAAATGCGAAAGTTTAGATGGATGGATGTTTGTTAGAGTTTGTAGCCTACACTTCTGAACGGATCTCTATGAAAATTGGCACAGATGCAGAGGACAATCTGGAAGAACACATAGGTTTTTTTTTTTAAAAACACGCGGACGGAGTGACGGGTGAAAGCTAGTTGAATATATCTTGCTTGGGTTATGAAATATATTTATAATAAGGTTATGTGTAACAAACCTTCCATTGTGGTATCTTGTAGCCGACGCCGTCAAGCGCGTCTTTCAGCTCTTTGAGGTCAATATATCCATTCTCGCTCTTGTCCAACTGTAACAAAGCAATTATATTACACAAGTTGATAATCAAATATTGATAGAGTGGGTCCACTTAAAAAATGAGACATTTTCAATGAGAATTCATACGCATATTTCGTATACATGGTTAAGTTTTTTTTATAGCCGATTAAACTATTTTATGAAAAATTAATATAACCAAATTATTTTATTGACATAATTCATGTTTGATTACACCGATGATGTTATCGTAATAAAATTATCAATGCCCCAACGCAAATTGAATTAATCTAAGAATGCGGTAAACGTTACTTGGAATCAAACATGACTCAGACATCGAATAATCTAACGATTCACTGGATACTTGGCACCTCTATTTGCTTCTTATTGACCGACTTCCCAACAGAGAGAGGTACTTAAGTAGTCTGTATGTTTTTTTTGCTACTTAAGGTCTGCTAGATGATTTAATAACTATCTATAGGTCAGTTTAAAGGATTATACCCAACCGTTATCCCGCTATGTCCCCACGTGAGAAAAAAAAGTTTTCTCCGTCGCACCTTTTAGTCCCACTATCACCAATAAGGAGACAGATGAAACTGTTATGAAATATAATAAGTTCAAACCGTACACTATCGCTAAACGAGGGACGGATGAAACTTTTTATTCATCAGTTCCCACGTGGGGACAGAGCAGGGTGACGGTTCGGAATAAACCTGTTTTAACTTGTGTATCCACTACGGCAACTCTAGTGCAACATATTGTCCATCTTTTCAGTGTCTTAAACAATAGAGACACGAAATAAATATAGGGTTTTTTCCACTGAGAATATCCCGGTATCAAATCAACTGTTTTCCTATGTTTCGAATGGAATTTTCACATTACATTTTCATTCCAATTTTAACAATTGCCTATAGGAGCACGTTTTAAACTCCTTTGAGTGAACAAAGACACCCACATGTCTATGTCATTAGTAAGAAGAAATACACAAGTAGTTTTTTTTTTTTATATTAGTGATTCAGCCATTTAATGAATCATAACAAAACAATAACAATGTCAAAATAACTACAATATTCATGTATTTTCATTGCGTTTTAAATAATTACTTAATTGTGTAAAAACGAGAGTAAACCGTACGTTTACGAGTTCCGCAGCAAATGTAACAGTTTGTGCATAGCTTTTTAGTTTTTTTGTATTCTTTCAGTATTTGAAGACGAGGCCAAATGAGCGGTATTTTGTAGATATATGTAGTATAATCAACGATGCATTCAGTTTTAAATAACACGTTCCGACCTTGACTCCAATTATGAATCATTTGATTTCTTTTAAATAGATCGAATTGTCAATTGTTTCGAAAACTCCTAATTAAAGGTTATACCTTATCTTAAGGATTGATTATCTGATTGTGACAGCCCTTAAACTATCTGAGACTTGATTTGTTGTTTTTGCTCTTTAGAGGTGGATTTACCATTTGCTCAATAAAAATATCGGACAAAGAAAAAGTGATACGGGCACTCACGCAACGTGAGTCTGGATATATGGCAAAACGTGATCAAATGCGGAACTTTGAGCCTTGGTTCGACTTTTTTGTGAACCACGCACACAGACTATCCGACTACAATTTAGGGTTGCGACAGATCCGGTAAGTCGGGAAATGCAATCGTTTCACCGCCGGCTGATATTAATCAGCAAGTTGAAAAGATCCTGTTTTTTTTACGTAGAACAATTAACATTTTCTTTAGCAAACTTTTCTAACATTAATTCAATTTTACACACCAAATTAATAACAGAGTTACTTTATAAAACGGTATTATTCATGCATTTTATTAAACAATATTCATTGAAGCGCATTGCAGTCTAAAAATAGCTGGGAATCCATTTCATAACATTGAAGAGTTCAACCCTAGTCAAGTATACGGGCGAAGCAACACAATGCAGTTTTTGTTAGCGCCATAAACTGCAGAATAAGGATTGGGCCACACTGAATGCGGGATGATCACTTACACACTGTTTAAAGAATAAATGCAAAAATAATCGATGTAGTGTTTTGTAATGTTTTATAGCCGAGGTGATAAATATCTTATCGACTAGATATTAAACGGGAAATTAATATGCGAACTTTGGAGTTCTCTAATATCTCACAGTTATTACCAAAGAAAAGCTTGCCACCCCAATCGTACACCAATCAATTGGTATGGTAAAAGTTTCCGCGACTATCTATTCCGCTTTCAGTGTGACCATACATTTCTATAAGCGAGATCTCGATCCGTAAATGGGCATGAAACAGGCCGAAAAGATTTAGTTACGTAACAGCGTGCAGTAAACAGAAGTGCCGGGTGTTTAAAATGTTATAGACACGCTTGGAAGCTTAGTAAATTCTATTGTAAGAATGTATTACAAAAACAAAAAATAAATATTTTCTCTAATCGAAGTTCTAACTCACTTCATTCTACAAACAAATTATTGTGTAAACTTAAAAATACGTTACTTAGTTTACTTCTAATCATACGGCGGAATTCTGAAACGAATTTCAAACACTTCGCTTATTAAGCGCAACTTACAGACGTCAAAAATTTAATAGAATTTAGCCTTATTATTTAAGTTGTTACATATTTAAAATGTCGGTTCAGTATTTGGCACTGAAAAAACAGAAGAAACGTATTCATGAAATAAATAAAAAGCTTTCATTAATTGTTAGCTGAATTATAGCCATGATAACGTAAACTAAAAATAAATTAAATCAGTTTGTACAATAAAACTAGCTGTAACAACTCTAGTAATGAAATGAGATATAAATTAATTAACTCAACGAGTGCGATAACCTACTGATCTGAGCAACTGGTCGTTCACGAGCCAGTTAATATGCAGTTACCAATTAGTAATTAAATATGCATACATTTACCTATTGCATTAAAAGGATAATATAAACGGAAATTAGGTTATTATTAATATAAGCCTAAACAGCACTAAGAAACCAAATGATCATGGAATATTTTTAAGTAGAACAAATTTACATTACAAAAGTAACATTTATGTTTTAAATTTAAATCTAAGCTAATAAAACAAATGAACACTTGCAAGAAAAGTTACAGATCAGTACTAAAGTTACAAAATATCTAGAACATTGAAGCATTATTTATAGAGAATCGAAAAACATAAAAACCACTTCATAAAGATCATGGAAGATGTCCACCTCTAGACCAAGCCTGCATCATTCGCGAGGCTTACGCCATTTTCTATATAGATTTCGTTATTCCGGATATAAGAGCCCATCGTAAAGAGGCTAACTTAATTTTACTTCTGTCACACATAAAACAAAAAAAGGTTCACAGAATAGTTATTTCACTTTTACGATCTTTTAGAACAAGAAAACGCTATTCAATGTTTCGGATGTCGTGAATAACGAAGTATTTGGTCTGTTTTATTAAATTATATCTAGTACAAGACAATTACGACACGGTACGAAATTCGGCAGGATATTTTTTAATTAATTTCCCTACTATTGTGTCGAAAGTTTGATACAGTTTTTTTATATAATAAGGGGGCAAATGAGCAGCGGATTTCCTAATACTGGTTGATACGACGTTTGTTATTATTTCTCGATGTTCGCTAGTTGATATTCGTTACGATGAGTCATTTCCATGATTCATATGCGGTCCAAGATGTTTGTATAATATCATTTTGTTTTGGTATGTTTCTGAATGTATTGTCTACGTTTATATTGTCAAGGTATGTTAGTATTACAACTACGATTAATTGTAACTTATTTTACTATTAACACAGTATTATATCCTATTCTAATTATTATAAGAGGAAAGATTCGTATTTTACAACGAATTAACAAAATTTTACAAGTTAGATTTAATTGAAGTAGCCCTCAAATACCACATACCATTAGAATTTTTTGTTTTCCAATGTATAACAATGGAATTTCATACGTCTTATTATGACTTCTACAAAATGATAAGGAAATATTAAATCGTTTTAGTAAATAATTCTTGTTTACAATACTTTTATTAAATCTAAATGCACACTAATTCATAAAAAGGCATGCAAATATGTATTTAAAATATTAGCATAAACATTTGTCCAAAACATCGTCGGAAATATTTTTACAATTCGTAAATAAGATATCCGCTAAAGTTAGGATCAAGTGAATATTTTTTTTATGTAAACACTTAATAGCAATGTAAATAAAATCAGTTAAATCTACCTTTACATTATTCTTACTCGTATGGTTTACAAAACTGAAATTACATTGATATATTTACTTGGGTGAGGTCAACAAAAAAATTATGTCGAAATTATGAATGGCGGAGTTTTTGCTTAATAAAGTTTAACGACCCGATAAGTGTATTTATCTTTGTGCGTCATATTGAGATAAAAAATGTTTCTGAACATTTCAACAGAAAGTTACATCTTTTTAATTCTTGAAATATCTATTTTCATTGCGTTCATTGTTTTGATTATCATTTTTTTGTTGATTGCATGTTTGTGGTATCTTAGAGCCCTCACAGACTTGATTTTATCGGTCGATATAGTCGAGCGCTAAATGAATATGAACATGTATTGATTAAAGCCAGCTCGACACGATGAAACTATCGGCCGATAAAAAGTCTGTAGTCTGCAGGCGTCCTTAGACATACATAGATCAATAGCTGTTAAGATTCAAGTTCGAAACACGCGTTTCTGCAAATTCTTGCATCTTTGAATGAAGGAATATCGATTTGTCCTTCGCCTACGTCTAGACTTCTAATGCCTCTAGCACACTACTGCCATTGCGATGCGAACATAATTGACATAATTTAGGGACATTGGTTTGTTTTAGTGAACAAATTAGCTGTTAGAGGCAAATTTAAGTAAAACCTTATGTTTGATTTTCGATGCGTTTTTGTTACTCTAAGCTATGCTTTTTAGTTTATAGTGTGCCACAAGTATTAGGCTAGAAAAATACTGTGTAATATTAATATAATAATTACAAAATCATTATTAATACGGTGTTATTTTTTTGTATTCAAATAACATAAAACATATCGA